TCACCCCCTTAATCCACCCCCCTTTGACTGGTTTGTGTTGTTTTGGAAAAGTGACTGGCTTGTGTTGCTGCGTAACATGTTAATTGCAGAACACAACATAAGGATTGAACAGCAACATTTGAAAACTTGAAGACGTTACAAAAATTTAGGAGAGGGAAAATAAATTCAAATTAAACCCGAACAAAATCGCTACAAGACGATACAAACCGACTTTAAAATTGGACAAAAAAAAAAAAAGATTAGCCTGATGAAGTCTAATGCTGAGAATTGTAGGGTTCTGAGGTAGAGATATGGTATCCGGAATTAGGAGTTACCGGATACCTTATATACCGTAACTCCTTATCAGGAGTTACCGGATACCTTATATACCGTAACTCCTTATCAGGAGTTACCGGATACCTTATATACCGTAACTCCTTATCAGGAGTTACCGGATAGCAAGTCTTAAAGCCTGAAATTACGAACTCTGAATGCGAGAATGATCTGCAGGAAGTTTATAATGTCATCATAATCATATATGATGATTAACCCCCCCCCCCCAAAAAAAAATAGGCATATACAAAAGCCTAAAAAAAGGATACTTATGTTTATATCTGGTCCGCGTGATTCCCCATTTAGATTATGCAGTTCAATTCTCGTCTCTCTACAGCGAAGGATGATGCCAAACACACGACCAAACTACGACGTTGCTGCAACGTTCGAACAAACTGTAACACCTTGTAAAAAGTTGTAACAACTAGCAGGTTCTAACAACTTTCCAAACGCGTCACAACAACTTTGTAACAAGATGTAACAGCCATGTAACACACTGTAACAAGGTAACAAATAGGGAGCGTTACGTTGTGTGTTTACAGCGTAATCCCAGGAATTGGAAACCCTTCTTTCTATGAGATATTAAAAAATAATTAAAAAATTACGGTCTCCACAAAAACGAAGGGGTGACTATGTCACCCCTTTCTATGTCTATGTTATATACGTCATATTATACACTTCAGTGACATGACCTGGGATGTAAGGGTTCAGCAAAGAGTGTGTAAAGGGATGTAAGGGTACAGCAAAGTACATAAATAAGGTTTTAACTCTATCAACACAAAATACAACTCGAAAGAATGGATGCAAACTGGATAAGTTTAAATTGAGGAAAGACCTGGGTAAATACTGGTTTGGAAACAAAAGGTTGTTGATGTGAGGAGCAAATTACTGGAAAGGAACTATTAGGGGAAAGCGCCAAGCCATTACGACTAAATAGCACTTGGAAGGAGTCAGGATAAAGATTTAGGATGGGACGGGGGAGGGGGGGGAAGGAATGGTGCCCAGCCACCTGGACGGTTGGGGATTGAACGCCGACCTGTATGAAAGATGAATGTGAGAGTAATAGTGATGAATTTCATCATCATCCACGTAACAATCAAGATTATAATACTGAATAAAACAATTATAAATGCAAAACCGAACCAAAACCGCAAAAACCCGAAACCAAAAGAGGAGGCTGTGATCATAAGAAGATCAAGACACGAGCGGGACACGTCCCTCCGCTAGTTAGAACACCTCAAAGCTATCTCAGAAACCAAACGATTTACAATCTAAGAATCCCTTCAATAAAAGCCCAGAGATAGTGGCCTATAGCTGCCATCTGTCCGGCCTGCGAGGCCCTATATATATATATACACATTACCTTTGATGAGATAAATGTTGGTTTCTCGCAGATACTTATCGGGAGAGAGAAAAAAAGAAGAGACGCCCTTTGCGGCGAGGCGAGAATTATGTGAGTTATGAAGTTGTTAAGCAATCATAAGGCGACAATCTGACGTCTGCTGCGTGGTCAGAGCGGAGGATATAATACCAGGATGTGGCTGCCGAAATAGAGAACTCCGAGCATGTAATGGTATATCTATAGGTACAGGGCTGAGGGTGGGGGAGAGAGAGAGAGAGACAGAGAGAGAGAGAGAGAGAGAAGACTGATTTTTTATTCGGAAGAATTATATGAAAAACACATGACACCTTCGACAAAGTCTGTTGGTGTGAGATACATGAAAATATAATTATAATGAGGCAAGATATAATGAGAAGTTAGGTTTGACAGCTTCAGTGTTATGTAAAAAGAGTAGAAAAGGGAAAGGAAATGCCACTTTGATGGAATGATGAGACATTGAGACTCATCACAGCAATGTGAATGAACAAGATGTTAAGATTATTGCATTTCTACAAATCCTAATACACTGCTTCCAAAAAAAAAAATACAATTATCCCTTCTATCTCTTGCACCTACCATTGCTTCAATTAGCTAGGGTCAGTAGACCATAAACAAATACCACTGCAGTAACCACTCGTGTTAAGAGACCCTATCATTACCGTCAAGGGCTGGCTAGCTGGCCAGGGCCACCGACAGATATCACCCTCAGCCCTCACATAGACACCATTATCAAGCCGTGATCACCGCTGCTGTTATCGCTGCTTGTTGAGGGCAGGGCTGCCACGGCGGCGAGACGATGGGGCTGGGAGGATGGGTTAAGGATGGAGGGGCTGAAGATGGGGTCTGGGTGCTGGAAATGGGGTCTGGGGGCTGGAGAGGAAGTTTGGGGTGCTGGAGATTGGGTCTGATTGGGCTGCGAAGGTGCTTCATGAGAGAATAACATGAATATTTGAATTTTCTATGTGCTCACTCCAGCACCGTCACCCACTCCAGTGGGTGTATAAATTATATGTTAACACCGTCGCTAACACCCGAGGCCCACATGGGTAAACATCAGAGGCCCCCCCCCATGGGTAAACACTAGAGGCCCCCATGGGTAAACATCAGAGGCCCCCATGGGTAAACATCAGAGGCCCCATGGGTAAACATCAGAGGCCCCATGGGTAAACATCAGAGGCCCACATGGGTAAACATCAGAGACCCCCATGGGTAAACACCAGAGGCCCCCATGGGTAAACACCAGAGGCCCCCATGGGTAAACACCAGAGGCCCCCATGGGTAAACACCAGAGGCCCCCATGGGTAAACACCAGAGGCCCCCATGGGTAAACACCAGAGGCCCCCATGGGTAAACACCAGAGGCCCCCATGGGTAAACACCAGAGGCCCCCATGGGTAAACACCAGAGGCCCCCATGGGTAAACACCAGAGGCCCCCATGGGTAAACACCAGAGGCCCCCATGGGTAAACACCAGAGGCCCCCATGGGTAAACACCAGAGGCCCCCATGGGTAAACACCAGAGGCCCACATGGGTAAGGAGACCACCAATCATCCAACCACACACTAACCACCGTACACTCTCACTAAACAATCTACTTCCATAGAACTTTCCACTAAATGAAGATCTCATCTAACTCATAACCAGGATGGAAAGTGCAATAAAAAGGACACGGGACCGACTCCTTAATAAATTCTTAACACAACAAATTCAACCCTTCTCTAAAACTGACTCGACTAACACCAGACCAACATCGCAGCCCGTCCTCCAAAGACCCGAAAGTGATTCCATCCACCCGCCAAACCCCCAGCTGTTTATGAATGAAAAACGGTTTACACACGACTCGCAACTGATAACGTTCGAACACTTCTGGAACAAGTGCTTCACTGACGAATTTTGTTCGAACCACAGCGCTATAAATGCTTCACTCACGTACTACAAATACAAATAATCGCTAACAGAACCTAAACACCTAACCTAACCTAACCTATGCCTATATATGCATAATATGCTAATATTTTATCAAATTAATTTATATATGAGAAAATTACCATTTGACTGAACAGCATGTAAAAGTTTATGAATGTGTCTGTGGGGTCGACCGCTGGATGGAATGAACTTGAGTCGAGGACGGGTTGAACATCTACAATCAGTAAAAGCCAGAAAAAGACAATTCTCAATGTCATATACATGAGGATGGAACTGATAGCTGACCAAGTAACAGAATAAATACCTAGCAAAAGCAAACCCAATTAATCCATCCCCCCCACGTCGACTCCCCACGTAACAGCCATTGAAAATAAATTGTTGTCTTAGGAAAATGCAATATTTCCAGGAGGATATCAGATAACAAAGAAGCGTAGGGAGCGCAGAGGTTGAGGAGGAGGAGTAGCCCTGCGGCTACAACTATGCTGGAACTTTCAGGAAGTAGAATTTGCAGAAGAATCCGACTAGCAGGAGTACATGCTGGGAATAGCAACAGCGGGACACATGAAGATAGTTGTAGTGGTGATTTACAATCCTCCGCCAAACAATAGAAGGCTTAAGGGGAGAATACAACACATGCAGTGAGAATTTTCTGAAGGTAACGGGAAAAGCCGCCACAGCAGCAAGGGGAACATGAGCTGAGATCGTAATAGTAAGGGACTTTAACCACGAGGAAATAGACTGGATAAACATACTCCTTCCCTCCACAGAGGTGATTAGACATGGAGGAAAAAACTATTAGACACGGCAGACAAATACTTTTTAAAGCACCACATTACATAACCAACAAGACTAAGAGGAGAGGACTCCACCAGCAACATTAGACACATGTTGAACAAATAAAAGTGTGCGATGCCTCTAGGAGTTTGCGACCATTGCATTGTCTGGCTTGACGACATAGCCGAGCTAAACAAGTTACACAAAGAAACCTGTTGAAGAACAGAGATTACAGACGCGGGGACTACATTATTATCTTCTTATCTTGAGATGATTTCGGGGCTTAGCGTCCCCGCGGCCCGGTCCTCAACCAGGCCTCCTTTTTTGTTACAGTCCCCCTAGGAAGCAGCCCGTGGTAGCTGTTTAGCTCCCAGGTAGCTATTTACTGCTAAGTGAACAGAGGGCATCAAGGTGAAAGAAACTCTGCCCAAAGTTTCCGCCTCCACCGGGAATTAAACACGGAACTTCAGGATTACGAATCCCGAGCGCTGTCCACTCAGCTGTCAGGCCCCTATTACATAACCAACACAATTGTTAAGAATGAGGGAGTTTCTGTGTGAAATCCAGTGGGAGGAGAGAAATGGAAGGGAAGACAGCAAATGAGATGATGCACGACTTTGCTGGTGAGTGTGTTGATGCAACATGTGTTGATGCAACATGTGTTGATGCAACATGTGTTGATGCAACATGTGCTGATGCAACATGTGATGTTGCAACATGTGCTGATGCAACATGTGCTGATGCAACATGTGCTGTTGCAACATGTGATGTTGCAACATGTGCTGTTGCAACATGTGCTGTTGGAACATGTGCTGTTGCAACATGTGCTGTTGGAACGTGTGCTGTTGGAACATGTGCTGATCCAACATGTGCTGATCCAACATGTGCTGTTGGAACGTGTGCTGTTGGAAAATGTGCTGTTGCAACATGTGCTGTTGGAACGTGTGCTGTTGCAACATGTGCTGATCCAACATGTGCTGATCCAACATGTGCTGCTCCAACATGTGCTGATCCAACATGTGCTGCTCCAACATGTGCTGATCCAACATGTGCTGATCCAACATGTGCTGATCCAACATGTGCTGTTGCAACATGTGCTGATGCAACATGTGCTGATCCAACATGTGCTGATCCAACATGTGCTGATCCAACATGTGCTGATCCAACATGTGCTGTTGCAACATGTGCTGATGCAGACTTCATACCTGCTCAAGAACAAGGAGGACAAGCGGACAAGAGGAGTAAAGTAGATTATTGGTTCTACATGCAGCTAAAGAAAGGACAAGATAAAGACAATGTGGATGAAGTAACACAGAGAACTAGGAAACACAGGAATATAGAACGACTAAAGAGAACATGAGACAAATATATAACGACTTCCCGCCAAACACACACCGAAACTACGACGTTGGTACAACGTTCGAACAAGTTTTAACACCTAACCTGTTATAACAACCAATATAGCAAGTTGTATCAACGTTCTAATACGTCATAAACACGTTCAGCCAAGATGTAACAACTTTATTACAAGTTGTAACAAGCGGAAAATAGAGACAGTTTAGGTTTGTGTTTCCAGGGTTAGGAGAGAAGATGAGAGGCAATATGAAAATGACTTTCAGACTAAGAGTAGTCACATTTGCCCTTGTGTGGAGTAATAGCTATCATAGGTGGGAACATTCTTGCTCAATCAACATTCTTTATGGAAATCAGGTAGAAGTCGTTTGTGTGCTCAGTTTACTTGCCTTTATATCCGTATTTATTGTACGGATGGGAGCCAAGGCCTAGCAGTAGTAACATCTAGAAGTCTGCTAACCATGTCGGTTGGTCTGTAGATGTGCAGTTCTTCCGGCATAATATTACGGCGATATATGGAAGGGAACTATCAGGAGAAAGCGCCAAGTCATTACGACTATATAGCACTTGGGAGGGATCAGGATAAGGATTTGGGATGGGACGGGGGGAAAGGAATGGTGCCCAACCACTTAAACGGTCGGGGATTCAGTGGTTGGGCACCATTCCTTCCCCCCCCCCCGTCCCATCCCAAATCCTTATCCTGACCTCTTCCAAGTGCTATATAGTCGTAATGACTTGGCGCTTTCTCTTGATAGTTCCCTTCCCCTTTCCATATATCGTGGCTATATTATGCTGGAAGAGCTGCACAGTAACTGTTGTGTATTTCGCTTTGCGTCAGGTCTATTAGATTTTGTTGCAGTTCCGGCTATATTGATGCCCTCTGGCTGCTCTAAGGCAGACCTAGAGGGCCATGTATTCCCTCTTTACGGGCAATGTTTTGTGTGACTGGTCAGTTCTGTCATACATTCGGAGACCAATATGGGAAGGAATCCACAGGAGACAAACTCTGACTCCATCATTGATTATTTCATTATATCTGTGTCTAGTTTCAGAGATAAGCACGTCACAGTTATGCCTTGGGGAGCTGAGGGCAGTCAAGGATGACAGGGAGTTACTTACAATTAACGTGTCGACTTTGGACTCGTTCGAGTGCAAGGATTATGTCAACCAATTCTGTTTGAAGAGTGGAGGCCCAGTTATTCATACTCGCTCCACACTCATAGAAGAACGAGCCATCTCTCGCTGTCACAACAACTGCACTTCCAGCTGCACCATAGTACTGATGTAAGGAGCAATCAGTGTAAATAATTTGGGAGAGGGAGCGCTCTTTGTCCAGAACATCAATTTAGTTTAAGACATTGTGTTTTGCATTTTGTCGAAACATGGGTTGTTCCTTAATCAGCTACTCAAGGGGGGGGGGGCGGGGGAAATAGGTGGAAAGGAGAGGATAGTAATTTGGAAGAGGGTGATCTCCCATGGGCAGGAAAGGGTCGTTGTTGTCTCTCCCGATGTAATATTCAGTAGTATTTTATGGTATTTTTCTTGCCGTAGCTGTCACAACTGCAAGAAAAATGACAGGTTGGATAACAAGAACTTTTCAAACAACAGATGCCATATCATTGATACTCTTCAAGACACTAGTGCTCTCAAGGGGTGAAATACTGTTACCTAATAACAGCCCCAGTCAAAGCTGGTGAAATTGCTGACCTGGAGAGCGTGCAAAGAACCTTTACTGCTAGAATTCACACAATAAAATATGTTATTTAATGGGACCGATTGAAATCTTTAAATCTGTATTCTCTAGAGCGCAGGCGGGAGAGATACAGAATAATTTACACTTTGAAAATATTAGAGAGATTGGTTCCAAATCCACATACGTAAGCAACATCACCTGAGATCAGGAGGCATGGCAGGATGTGCAGAATACCCCTGTTGAAAAGAAAAGGGGCAATAGGTACGCTGATAGAGAACTTCACTCTTGAGGTTATCTTGAGATAATTTCCGGGCTTTAGTGTCCCCGCGGCCCGGTCCTCGACCAGGCCTCCACCCCCCAGGAAGCAGCCCGTGACAGCTGACTAACACCCAGGTACCTATTTTACTGCTAGGTAACAGGGACATAGGGTGAAAGAAGCTTTGCCCATTGTTTCTCGCCGGCGCCTGGAATCGAACCCAGGACCACAGGATCACAAGTCCAGTGTGCTATCCGCTCGGCCGACCGGCTCCCTAACTTTATCACAGTTCCCAATACTTTTCAACACATAATTCAAACGTATTGGAATTGTATCCATTTCACATAAGAGGCATAGCTGGGCAAACTCTCATGGTGTTCAAAAGAGAACACGATAAATATCTCCAAAGAATACCTGATCAACCAGACTGTGATTCATCCGTTAGTGTGTGAGCAGCCGCGTTCAACAGTCTAGTTAACCCGGACCACCAACCGGGAGGCCTGGTCAGAAACCGGGCCACTGGGACGTTGATCCTCGGAACCATCGCAAGGTAACCGCAAGGTAACATCAAGATAACAACAAGGTAACCGCAAGGTAACAGCAAGGTAACCACAAGGTAACCACAAGGTAACAGCAAGGTAACAGCAAGGCAACAGCAAGGCAACAGCAAGGTAACAGCAAGGTAACCGCAAGGTAACCGCAAGGTAAGGTGGTAAAGATCATGAGTATTATACATTCTGAGTGCAGCTGTTCTTTTAGTAATCAATTTCGAGGGATCCAGGGTGACCTACTGAGTTCTTGCCCCGCTGCTGGGCCGGGTAAGTCCACAACGGGCTTACCATAGCCCGTGCTACTTGGAACGTTTTGTAAGTTAGCAGCAGAAGCTGCCTAGTAATTGTCTTGCCTATATACTGAGATCTTTGGGGCTGACAGTCCCCAAGTGGGCATGTGACAGTCCCCAAGGCCCACATGCCCATTTGGGGACCGTCAGCCCCAAAGATCTCAGTATATAGGCAAGACAACAACATCTCTTTCCAGGCGATTAACAATGCACAAGCAACAGGGCTCCATCAAGGAGCATATAATCTTCTCACACAACCAGACCATCACCAGAGAAATCTTAGCAAGCAACACAGAAATTATCAACAGGTACAAGAACAACAGGAGACTCGACATCAGCGAGGCCCTACACATCAAAAAGTCAAAACCAGCAATCAACAGCCAATTAACACATAATTACATTCTACCCACTTCAAGAACCCGAACCAACACAGAAACAGTAGAAACAAGAACACAGAACACTCAATGGCATATTAATACCCATTGTACCATTGATCCACTTGTTCATCTCAATCATGTCCTAAATCACCTTACCCCAAGCGAATATAAGCCTTGGCAGAATATGGAAAATTTGTCATTGAAATTGTAAGGAGTGTCTTGCAAAACGCTTCCCTAGGCGTCAGACCATAAATATAGTGTGAAAAGGAACTTTGGAGAGTTAATTTTTCAACTTCCCTCAACAGTGAAGAAAAACATAAGAAACATAGAGAAGATTCGTGTTAGTATCATATATATATATATATATATATATATATATATATATATATATATATATATATATATATATATATATATATATATATATATAATGTCGTACCTAGTAGCCAGAACGTACTTCTCAGCCTACTATGCGAGGCCCGATTTGCCTAATAAGCCAAGTTTTCCTGACTTAATATATTTTCTCTAATTTTTTCTTATGAAATGATAAAGCTACCCATTTCATTATGTATGAGGTCAATTTTTTTTTATTGGAGTTAAAATTAACGTAGATATATGACCGAACCTAACCAAAGCTACCTAACCTAACCTAACCTATCTCTATAGGTTAGGTTAGGTTAGGTGGCCGAAAAAGTTAGGTTAGGTTAGGTTAGGTAGGTTAGGTAGTCGAAAAACAATTAATTCATGAAAACTTGGCTTATTAGGCAAATCGGGCCTTGCATAGTAGGCTGAGAAGTGCGTTCTGGCTACTAAGTACGACATATATATATATATAAATATATATTATTAAATATGACCGAAAAAGTAAGATTAATAATTCTAACACGAATTTTCTCAATCTTTCGTACATTACGCTTCACTGTTGGAGGTAAATCAAAAATCACTTCTCCAAAATTCATTTTTATTTCTAGTCTGACGCGACACGGGCGCGTTTCGTAAAATTTATTACATTTTCAAAGACTTCACAAATACACAACTGATTAGAACTTACGTCTCTCTGATATTATATCTACATTTGAGTGAGGTGGGAAGGATGATGTGGCATTAACACAAGACAGAACAGGGGATATTAATAGGGTATTAAAAGTATCAACACAAGACAGAACAGAAAACAATGGGTATTGAATAGAAATGTTTGTAGAAAGCCTATTGGTCCATATTTCTTGATGCTTCTATATTGGAGCGGAGTCTTGAGGTGGGTAGAATATAGTTGTGCAATAATTGGCTGTTGATTGCTGGTGTTGACTTCTTGATGTGTAGTGCCTCGCAAACGTCAAGCCGCCTGCTATCGCTGTATCTATCGATGATTTCTGTGTTGTTTACTAGGATTTCTCTGGCGATGGTTTGGTTATGGGAAGAGATTATATGTTCCTTATTGGAGCCCTGTTGCTTATGCATCGTTAAACGCCTAGAAAGAGATGTTGTTGTCTTGCCTATATACTGGGTTTTTTGGAGCTTACAGTCCCCAAGTGGGCATTTGAAGGCATAGACGACGTTAGTCTCTTTTAATGCGTTCTGTTTTGTGTCTGGAGAGTTTCTCATGAGTAGGCTGGCCGTTTTTCTGGTTTTATAGTAAATCGTCAGTTGTATCCTCTGATTTTTGTCTGTAGGGATAACGTTTCTATTAACAATATCTTTCAGGACCCTTTCCTCCGTTTTATGAGCTGTGGAAAAGAAGTTCCTGTAAAATAGTCTAATAGGGGGTATAGGTGTTGTGTTAGTTGTCTCTTCAGAGGTTGCATGGCTTTTCACTTTCCTTCTTATGATGTCTTCGATGAAA